TAGTATTCTGTCAATAGGTTTTTGATTTGCTACTAAGACAGAACTAGTGTCTCCAAAGTACATGACGCTGGTGTGCTAAATGTACCTCATACAGGATGTGTGAGACAATTGTTATGGCTTGTGTTCCCTCCGAGCCTGATGAGGTCCTACACGGGGCTTCACAGAGATGGCTGGTCTGTGCCTTCTCCGTAGCCATTTTTGTTTTTGGTACCAGGGATCAAACTCTGGCCCTTGCACTTGTGAGGCAGGTGGCAGAAGCACTGAGCCAAATCCCCAGCCCTCCGTAGCCATTTTCTGTCATTGTCTCCCATCTAGTCACTGGGGGAAGGTAACACTGGGAACCCTGAAGTGCAGGGTTTTTTAGTCATTCTGAGGCTCAGTCTGAAATAACTCCTTCCCAAAATGGTGCCTAATTGAACACTTTGTAGCTATATGACAGCCACTCCACTGAGCTCCTTCTCCAACTGTTGTTACTGTGTGTAAGAAGTTACTTTCAGAGTAAAATTACATGACATTGTTGCAGTTTATAATAGGTGAAGGATTTTTCTCAAGGCAAGTGCTGCCTGGTCCCTTGTTTGTCCCTGGAGCTCCAAACCCTGGGTGTTTACCTTGTGTCTGTGGAAATAGCTTTCCAGCAGGAGGGGTAAGCTTTCAGGCTGCTTAATTTTCTTCTCTACATTGTGGTGTATTTCTCCAACTCTTTTTTGTAGCTTCTAATTTTCCTGTGAGTTCCCTCCTGATTCCTGGACAGCTGATTTTTTTTCTAATTTGTTATTTTCCAGGTGTATGGATTCTAAGTAATGAGGAGGCCCTATGATGCTGCTGATCATTACTCCATTATTTCGGTTCCCTCCTAAAAGAGCAGTTCTGGGTCTCATCGTGGTAGCGATTACATGAAGCTACACATGTGATAAAATTGCATAGATACACAAATAAGTGCATGAGGATAGAAATATCTGAGGAAGTTCAATACTGTATCAATGCCAGTGTTTTGGTTTGATATTATGCTATCTTTATACACCATGTTACTGTTGAGATAAGCAACGTGAAAGGTATCTGAGACCGCTGTGTGTATTTTTTGTAACTTTCTGTAATTCTCCATTTCAGAACAAATATTTGAAACAAAAGTTTTTTATGAGTTAATTACAATTAACTGACAAGCTTAAGTTTCTCCCTGTTACTCATTAGGATCATACATCAAAAGAAGATCAGATCACTTACTATAAGTAAAAGATACACTTTTCTTTGGTCACCTGTACATGTTTTTAAATACATGAGTCTACTATATATGTGGGTGAGTTTCTGCATTTGCCTGACATAAATAAAAACATATGTTACAAGATGTTTTGCTTTTGTTTGGCCCTTTTCACCCGTACTATATATCTTTCGGTTGTTCTGTATTAATGCATATATACTTGCTTAGTTCTTTTAAATGGCTGATTAGTATTCATTCCTAGGATGTGCCAGTTGATATATTAGTCATGCTACTCTTTCCCTATTAATGAGCTTTGCGAGGAAACTGCCATGGAAATCTTGCAATATTTGCCTTTGCAAGTATAAATTTTTGTGAAGGGGACTTCCAGGGACAGTAGTTTGCTTCACTGTGCACAAATGAAGACATATATCTATATTATGCAATCACTGAACTTTGCCTGAGAGGAAGAGTATGGATTCGTGGATGTCTGTACTGTTGGGACTAAAGCAGAATGGGTGGAAGGGTCGTTCACCACCTGTAATTGGCTTACAACTGCTGCACGAGTGTCCCTAAACCTGTCTGACACACACTGGCTGTTGACCCAGATGTTAGCCCCTTTGTGCTCCATCCTCCGGAGCTATCCTGTGCCTTTCACAATTCCTTCTTTATCTGACTTATTTCTGTGTGCAGGCATGCCTTGATCTTCTCACACCATCTCCGTTTTGACATATCATTACTTTGTCAAATTTGGAAGTCAACGTGTACATCCTAAGAAAAAACATTATTGTGTAATAGACTCCATAAATTATCGGTGCTTTTGAAAAGCTCTTTTTTTGTGTGTGAGGGGGTTCATGGTTAACATTTTCCCTTTCTAGGAATCTCCACTAAATTTTGACAACTATATTTATGGGGCCTGTGACTGAAATTCACTTTTTCCTTACATTTCTACCCAACTGTGTTTGGTAGATGTAGTAGAGAAGACAAGGCTTAAGGCAACACATCAAATTTTACCTTTAAAAACATGGTACTTATATACAACGGACTACTACTCAGTCATAAAGCGGGATAAATTTCAGTTATCTGTGGATGAATGGATATGCTTCAAGACCATAATTTTAAGTGAAATGAACAAGACAGATAAGGTTAAATATCGTAATATTTCTCTTGTGTGAAAATCCCTAAGGGTACAAGCAAGGTGTAAAATGGAGGACAGATATTGGGAAGTAAAGAAGAACTTTTTTCAAATGGGAAGGGGAATAGGAGTGGGTAGGAGGAGGGGAAGGAAAGAATGGGGAGAATAGAGTCTTGAGAGACTCTGGGCTCAGAGTGTGTATTAGGCACCCTTCCTGTCGCTAAGGTACCTCTGTATCTCCTCATATACCCTCTGTTCCCCCTGCTGCTCCCTGCCTTCCTCCCTTTTTCGCACCATCAGGGAGGGCGCGAACGCACGCACACACGCGCACATACGCACACACACATACACACACACACACACACACACACACACACAGTTCCCAAAAGGCTGATTTCATCTCCACCACCCCTGTCATCTGTTGATGTAATCCCTCCCATCTACCCCAGTGGATATTTCTGGTGACCTTGTGCATAGTCTGGAGGTTTCTGGCCTCTGGTCACTGGCTTCCCAGATCATCACTGGAGGTGGTGGACTTCCCTGGCCTGTGCTGGCCTCTCCCTGTCTTCACTTTACCAGAGCTGGTGTGTACTCTGGGGGATGCTTTTTTCTTTAAATTCCCTTGAAGTGGTCCATTTGCCTTCTTTGTTTCCCTGGGCATCTGGAAGGACCTGGAGAGATCCCAGGAAGACACTTGTTTGGGGGAGACGATGGAGGAGGGATGGGAACAGGGCCTTCAGGAAAAGGGGTGCAGCCTCAGGACAAGGTAGGAGTCTTGTGGAAAGGCAAGGGGAAGGAGGTGAGGAGCTGGGATGGTATATTCACTTTGCCCTTGAATGTAGGAGGTGAAGGAGGCTTTCTCTTTTCCTGCACAAGGGTGGTTGGACCTGCTTGTGCAGTATCTGCATTAGGTGCTGGTGATTTGAATTTAGGTGTTTAGGGAACCCTTCTTGCTCATGAGGCTCCTCGAGCCAGCTTTTTCTGTATGAGCCTTTGGCGCTACTGCTTTTCCTCCTTTCTTTTCAGTCAGTGCCTCCCAATGGTATAGCCCAGGAGGGGCTGGCTTCCCTCCGTGTAACTGTCCCTAGGATGGGCATACCCTTGGGCTTTGTTTGCTCAGCATGACATTAGCTCATGACAGCCCTCCGAGGAGAGCTTGAGACCCCACACAGCACCATCCTTACAGGAGGAAAGGAGGGGTATGATGAGCCCACATTGTGTGGTGGGGAAGGGAGAGATCTGCTTAGTGCCCCTCACATGCCTCTCTCCTGCACTCTTGCTGAAGCCCTCTTGCCTCCTTTTCTTCAGTACCAGTGGGTCAGGAAGCAGGAGAGGGCGATTCCTGCACGTGCTTGCGGGGGGTCACAGCTTTCCCTGCTACATTCTCTTCCTCCCACACCTTAACTGTTACTTGCCCTTTGTCTCACTGGAAGTGCCTCCCTGCTAAGCTGGCCTCATCTAAGATTATGTAGAGATTTCCACAGCCTTCCCTCCTACAAAGGCCCAAATATTGGAAATTTTTATGGAGGCTCACAAAGGATCCATGAGTCAAACAGAGGGCTGAAAGAGATTGAATTCATTGGGTTGAACATTAAAGATCCCTTTATTTCATTCGATAGTTCTTTAAAAATAATATGTACCTTGACTGCCACCCCCAAGTTTCAGTCTGAGGAGGATCCCGCCTTCGTGCTTGCCCCATGCTCCATCTTGCAGTTCCTTCGCTCCCTCCCTGCTGTGTTTCCTTTCTCCACATCCTCCCTCTCTTGCTCCACCCACCCTCTGTCCTTTCCTGCCTCCCTCCCTCCGTCGTCAGCCCCCCAGTCCAGTTCCCATAAACACCCTGCAGTTCCTCCCCTTCCCCTCTCTCGCTCCCTCCCCCCGCCCGTGCTCACAAGCCCCATCTTCTCTTCTCACGCCCCATCTCACAGTTCCCTCCT